AGGAATGTGTGATTCGGGATGCACAGTTCATATGCAGTCACGCAGGGAAGAACCACACCGAGGAAAGAAAACTGGAACAATTTTGGGTAGGGCTGAGCAGAAATGCAGTCAGTGAGGTGGTCTGATAGCCCCCAGGCACTCACAGAGACTTTTGTGCCTCCAGGGTTTTCCCAAGGGCTCTGTGAGTGCTATGAAACACCAGCACAGGTATTTTGGCATCCTCTATGATTGCTTTTTATCAGTCACCTCCTAAAATCCTGCTGGTTCTTCACTCCCTCACAGGAACATGGAGCACCCTGTGCCTATATCCTGCCAGGCTTCTCGTGGCCCAGCAGAGCAACTCCCTCCTTGGGGAGCCTGGACCTGGGAGATGCACCAGCTCCACCTCAGCTAGCACATAAAATGGACCATGGTGAGTCCTCAGGCCCTGAAAGTCAGTGCCAAGGCTGGTTAGAGTCTGTGTAGCTAAACCTCCCCTTGAACCATCATTGCCCACTAGGAACTGTCCCAGGGATGTGCTGTCCCATGTGCCTTGCCTGGGCGCTGTTTGGGAGGTTTTATTTTTTTGGGAGGTTTTATTTTTTGGGGAGGTTTTATTTTTTTAATGATATTTTCAGTCCTTCTGGTTGCAGAGAAAACCATGAAAATGTGAACCAAGAGGCCCATAAAGAAACCTGAAATCTGTCTGCCCCCCCAGCCAAGGGTGTCTTGAAGTTTGAACCCATACATTTTTTGGAGTCTGACTTCGAGAGCCCACATTTCTGGTGCCTTGTACAACCACTGAGCTGATGTGGTACAGAAAAGGCACTGTGAAAGCCAGAGGTGTCTTAGGTGTACCTCTGGAGCTTGTAGGCCTGATGGTGTCTCCTGTTGTACTGATAACACAAAGGGTTAAGTTAAAAAATGAAAAAGAAGCACTGAAGAATTATTTCTAATCCCCTTTTAACAATAATAATAATAATAATAAACAATAAAATCTTTTCACAAAAGCAGCAGTAAAAAACAAACAAAGAAAAAAAAAAAACAGTGCAGTGTGTTTACAATTAATTTTCAGCTTCTGAAAGCACCTCGTGAATGAAATATGTGTCTGGGCTGCGGGGGAACCAAGAAGCGAGAAAAGATAATGCTGGTGACAGGAGAGCAGATTTATATAGTGTCTGCTGGTTCCCTTTCATTTTCCGAGCAGCAGGAGGAGATTAATGATATTGTCACAACAACATTAATGATGCTGTAAAATCATAAGGACAAAGAGAGCCAGGATTTGATAAAAGTGAGATTTACAGCTGCATCAGTCAATTTAATTATCTTTTACTAGGCTTAAACTAAGCAGTAAGACTAATCTCCATTTAACATGTTTTACAGGGTCTGCAGACGCTTTACAATCCTCCTCCATTCAGAAGTGTCAAATTATGGCAATATTGATAAAAGAGTGGTGTAAATGGTTGTCTAGTCAATCCCAGAACCAGTTAATATCTTTTTTACTGCATTGTAAAAGCCTATTACTCTCAAGTTTTGGAGTGAAATTTGTGGACAGTAATCTGAGTTGATAATGTTTAGGAAACAAGTGCAGAGGAGATAAAGATCCGCGTCCACCTGCCTGTGCTTGCTATAAAAGGCTGTGCTCGCTTTCCCTGCTAGGGAGCTGCTGCCTGCCCTCCAGCCCTGCAAACCCTTCCCTAACTGGAGCTGCTGCTCCTCGTGCAGCCCTGGAAGCTCCCTGGGGAACAGCTTTTACACCCCAGGTGAAATGTTGGCTGAGAGGCCATGGAGGTCTTTAAAAACATCCTTGGGGATTTCCAAAATCCGCCTGGACGTGGGCCTGGGCAGCCTGCTCTGGGTGTCGCTGCTTGGGCAGGGATGGCACCAGCCATCCTGTGATGCTGTGAGGATGCCAGGGCACGTTTATCACCGCCAGCGATGGCCAAGACCTGCCGCAGGTGAACGGGAAGAAGCAGCCACAGCACAAAGTCTCAGTGAGGCCCAGGGTGGTAGGTGTACCACACACCCATCAACAGGTCACATCATCATCACCGCAGAGGGATGAAAACTGCATCACCAACCCCCTCCAGAGTCTTACCTCTATTTCCAAGAGCAGCAAACGAGCACGCAGATTAAGTAATTGGATGCCAAATAATTACCCAAGTGTGTAACAGGGTATTTGTCCTCATTAGCTCATGTAAGACCATGACAGATTACATGTGTCAGATTTCCATCTGCTGTTTTTTTTTAAAAACAAGTCCCTTGAGGACTTCAGGTCACTTGTTTTGATTTTGTACTCTCCATCACTTTGTGGAGTTGCTCACACTTGGACAAGGAGTAAAACCGAGTAAAAACTGGTGTAAAACCCAGACCTTTCCATCTGATGGACTTTTCTGTAGCCACTGAGCCCTCCTTTTCCACCGAAGCATCCTTCTTTGAACTACAGGGAAGCAAGGTTCTGGCATCAAGGACAGAGAAAAAATGCTTTAAACTTGCACTTTTTTTTGATCTTTGATTTTCAATGAAACTGAAGAAAACAGAACTTACAAAACAGGCAGCAACCCCCAGCAAAGTACTCTTTGACACTTGGCAGCTCAAGAAAATCTAAGTCTTTCTAATAGGCTCTCTTTGCCTGCCCTCCAAACAGAGGAACATCGCTCTCTCTGTGACCAGGTATCACTGGCAGTCAAGAAATGGATTTGCTGCAATTCACTACAGGGTCTGGGTCTGAGAACTCAGGGTTGGAAATTTAGACCTCACTTTACCTTCCTTTATCTCATGCTGTTGCCTGGCTTTAAGTGCTGTGGGCTAACCTATCGTTTCGGGCCATCTTTTCTGCAGCTCAGGTGGCTCTGAAATCTATTTTTGGGATATTATGGTCTTGCTAATCCAGTCAGGCTTCTTGCAAAACCAAGGTCTGGACTCAGGCATGCCCTGTGTTGTTGCATTACAGTTGTTCTGGTCATGAATTATTTTAAAAAGTCAACAAACCCAGAATCACTGACCACAGTGTTTCTAAAATACTTTATTTTTAGCTGTCTCATAATGTCTGTCCATGAATAGTGAAAATAAACTAAAAATAGTTTTCTTACCAGGCCAGGAGAAGAAGCATAAATATATATATATTTAACAATTCACTCGGTTTACAGCAAAAAAAATGTTAACAGCAATCAAGTCTTCCTGCTTCAGGTTATGTTTGAAACACATTGTAGCCCTGCCTTACCATTTGCTTTCTTTAGCTTTTTCATGCATCTAATATCCTAAATTACAGTGCATGCTACATGCTTTTGACAGCACTGGGTGCCCCCCTCGTGCTGTAGAACTGGAGGGTCTCATGGAGATGCCCACAGAAGTTTCCTTCTCCAGCCCAAATATCACCTCAAAACCTGGCACATTCCAACCCCAGGACGTTTTCCATGGTGTGGGCTCTTAGAAAACCAGACCTATTAAAATCAGGTGTGTTGTGTGTGATGGGCTCAGTAGGCCTCCACCATGCAGCCTCCCATTCCCAACCACTGCCCCCACAAGGCTCAGGCCGTGGGGCACGGCCAGGTGGAGATCCCAACCCACAGGACCACAGATGGGGACAAGCCAGCTCTCTGCCATGGCTGGAGGGAGGCCTTGTGCACCAGAGCTTTGAAAAATTGTGAAGTTAGCAAACGCCACAGCTGTTCTCATTGATCTTAGCCCACCAGTGTCACCTCAGTGCTTCCCTGTGCAGGGAGCCTCTGAGGGAAGGATTCCAGTCCAGGTGGTGGCTGGCCCTAAATCAACAGTGGTTTCAAACCTCACTGCCCATTTCAAGGATTCTTCACTAAGCCCAGAATAGAGGCATTGCCCTGAGAGGCTCCCTCCTTGGAGATCTCCAAAACCTACCCGGACCTGGTCCTGGGCAGCCTGCTCTGGGTGTCCCTGCTTGGGCAGGGGGGGCACCAGGGGCCTCCAGGGGTGCCTTCTCAGCCACCCTGTGGCTCTGTGAAATCAGTAGGAGCGTTGTCCAAACAAGTTTTCAAGACTGAGTCGCCAGTGGCAGAATTGCTCTGTCAATAAGTTCTGCAATGTGCTTGTCAGTGCAGGAAACGGGGAAAAAGTCAGTTCGGGATTCTTATCCATCCCATCTTATCAGGGTGGTAAATCTGGTCTTTGATCTTTTGTCAACAACGCACAAAGTTGGAGGCAGCTGCCACCACCCTGCTCAGCGATGTAGTCATCAGGGAGTCATAAAACATTTATGAAACCTGTAATAAACAAGCCTGATAAGGAGCAGGACACCGGGTTTCGGGAGTCAGCAGCTTCTTGGGGAAGATCTTCCTCTAACTCCAAGGCTCCTTTGTTTGAACAGCAAACACACACCACCAATTGCACCCTGCCATAAAAGTTGGGAGCAGGGAATTTTCACCAGCCCTTGTGCTTGCTGAATTTCTGTGGCATGTACTGGCCTTCAGCATTTGCCTTTCCCACTTGCCAACTCCCGAATAGGACGGAGAAGAGGGGGAAAGGAGAGAAATGGAAAAAAAAATTCTAACTGATGAAGGAAAATTAACTACAGACAGTGAGAATGTTCCCAGAATGAGGAAGAAATTGAAGTTTGAGCTGAAATATTTTTGCTGCTTTTATTTCTAGTCTTGATGAATTTTGTGAGATTCTCTGGGTTCAGTGCATGGGATGGCAAATAACAAAACTTCCCTTCTGCTCCCACCTTCCCCATTACTGCTGCTATGACTTTCACAGTCCCTCTCTCTCCCTTATTTTCTTTACAATGAAACCAGGTTGGGCTGCCTTGTATGTCCTCTGTGCATATGTTTTCTTCCATATTTTTTTTTCCAATAAAAGTGATATAGCTTTAGCACTCTGGCGACCATGTTGATCACTCACTGGGCTACTTCTTGTTCTTTGGAAAAATTTTGTCCTGGAAAGTTTCGGCCTGTGTTCACAACTCAAATCCCCACTTCTGGTTAGCACCAAAATCAATCTGTTCTCCCTTTGCTGTCATGAGACCACATCTTTGACGTTAATTCCAGATTTTATTTTTTTCTTCTGCAAAGACACAAGATAACATATTGCCTGGAACTCAGAAACACGAGGTTTTATCTGGTATATCACCTGACTCACCTGTATTTTTTAATTTGCTTGTGTTTTGTGTGGTGATATACTCCCGAAGTTGGGGGACAGACCACCTTTTATTTTTTTTCTGGTATCTGACTTCATAAGGAAGTGTAATTGTTTCTTATAAGTAATTTAAAGCGTGCAGACTATTCTCTGCTATAACAAGATGTATTTACAGCTACGTATTTATTTTATTGTGTAATCTCCATGAGATAAGCAACTGTGATGTTCTGATTGGTATTATTTTATTATTTACCAATTAAAATACTTAGGAGTTTGGTGGTATGATCATTTTTTCTACCTGTTAATTGAGTTGTGTTTCAGGACATTGAAGTAACTAATAAGACCAATTATTCAGTGCTAGCAAATAATTTGTCAGAACAATTCTGAACAACAGAGATAGATACAAAGATACCTTAATTAGATGTGTTATCAGTTGCCTATAGTAATAAAGTACTAATTCAGCCCTTGAGTATAACCGCAAAGTAACTGTAATAAATTTCATATTTGGTAATAACCCGCTACAATATACCTTAATTAGGTGATAAACTAACAGTGACTGTGTGGAAATATCTCAAAAATACAACATACTTCTAATCCAAAATAATTATTTGCCTGTGAGATTTTGGATATTGCAGAAGTGCCTGCATTTTCCCATCAGCAGAAGTGATTGATTGCAGTGGCCAGCCTGTGTCGTGCACCATTTAGGTGACCTCTTTCTCCTTGCTTCATTGCAAGCAACCTTGGGATGGAAGAATCTCTACTTGCTGCAGTCCTACGCAATTAGTCAACTGACTGATCAAACGCTGTCACTTAGTAGCACGTCTTAATTGTGTGAACGTGCTTTGCTTCTGCATCAGGCTATGTTTTTCTACCAAACAAACATTTTTTCAGTGTTCACACTTTATTTAGCAACACTCAGAGGGATACAGGCAACGCACTTGCTCTGTCCTATGGTAGTTCACAGAAAATGGGTCAAATATGGCATTTTGTGCATCCTGGTGCAAACTTATCATCCTGCTTGGGTGGCCTCCTCGGTGACCCTCAGCGGTCCGAAGGTGACCGTAGATGATGAGCCTGCAGTTCTAGGGCTTGCTCTCGAATTTGAAAGAAGGGTTTGAGTTCAGTATTTATTTTATTTTTTTTAAATAGGTACAGATTCCAGATAACACACCCCTACAGCATGTCTCCTGAGCATGGCTGAGAGGGGTGGTGCTGTGGCAGAGGTGTGGGGATGGCTGACGTGTCCGATGGGGCTCTGTGTGATCAACAAGAGGGATCCTGCCAGCCATGGCACGAGCACCTCCTGCGCCGTGACCAGGCAGTTCTGGAAAATGAAAGCGCTCTGTGACTAAGCAGTTATATCAGTCCCATAAATCAAAGGATGGGCAACTCTACCATCTATTCCTCATTTCTCTGCTCTATTCAGCTCTCGTCTCCAATCGCTGTTTAAAGAAAACTGCTACCAACTTCTGCCTTTGCTTTCCTCGGCCTCTCATGCACTTCTAGACTTCCACATCTCAATGTCTAATTCTTGCTCATCTGCTCCTCTCCACAACACTGCATTACCTTGGCAATATCGTGTCTCTGATACCATTTCTCCCACTTTCTTCCCTTATACCTTCCATACTCTTACTCGCCTCTATCCTTCTACACTAAAGGGGCTACACTAATAAGCATTTAGGATGCTTATTCAAAATGCCTTATTTAAGTGTTGCCATCACCCCAGGAGGAAGGTAATGTCTGGCAGCCCCAGAGAGCAGTCTGGGCTGCCCTTTAATGCCTCAGACACCACGGTGGTCACAATAACTGGGCTGGGTATGTATGCCAGAAACAAGAGTGCATCTCTGCATGTTGTGCTCTGGGGGATGCAGCTACACTGCTCCCTCCTCAGGGGCAGAGTCAAGCAAAATGCAGCACCCTGGTCTATCCCCTCCTCTAATACAATTTTCCAGTGTCATTGTGTCCATACTGATCTATAACAAAAGAAGATAAAATATATTTTCCCCATGCCCTCAGGAGTTTAGCACAGTGCAGATTGTTTTCTGCTTTGCTATATGCCAAGAGGGTCTCTGTGCCAAGTCCTAGTGAAAGCTAAAGGCAGATGGTTGAAATATCTGGAACCAACATAGTGTGCAGTCCCACCAAGCATCATTCCAGGTGATGGGATCACAGAGCTGCCAGGGCTGGTTCATTACAGAGCAGAATTTGAAACCATTTGTAGAGGGCCCGCAGCTCTCTGTTTAAGCCGGTTTGATGAGTTTGGCCATTTTGTTCTGCTGCTCAGAACAGTCCCCCTGTCAGAACAAGGGAACAGTCCTCACAGGTATTTTTCACAGAGTTCATCTCTCCATCCCATGGGTGTTTTCCCTCTAGAAGGAGGGTGGCCTTCGGGAAGGCCCCAAGTCATGACAACCCACAGAAATTCATGGCTCTGCTGCTTTGAGTGCTCATTAGTAACCCTCTCTCCACCCATGAAACAGCCCCATCCTCAAGATATAAAGATGGCTACAGTGAAGGTTTTACTCCCCGTGTGTCCCCACTGGACACACGCTGCCTTTTGTTAGGCACCAGAGAACCCCCAGAGCAGAGAGATGCTGGCAGTGAGCTTTGTTCTTGCATTCATGACACAGCTCTTAATTTGCCTAAATTGCTCTTTCCTGAGCACACGGTGCATTCATAGATTATTGACTGCAGTAAAATAAGCCCTCGCCGAACATGTATATTTTATACCTTAAAGATGACTGCCTGTGATGTAGTTTGGTGAAAATGAAGCGGAAGCACAAATGAATTACGTTCATTATCCCAAATGAGTAAAATTTGCTTACTGCAAACTCCTGAGTAACACCAAAGAAGATGATGGATAAATGTAACCCAAGTGATTCAGCCCCCAAAATTTCAAAGGTTTTCAGAGCGTGTACCCAGACAGCTGGCTGTAAGCGATGAAAAGGCTTTTGTCAGCGGTGCACAGCGTTCTTTGTACTGGTTAGTTCCCAGTGATTTCATGTAGCACAGAACTGTCATTTTGTTAAAACGTTGGGATTCAGACCAGTGAGACAGCAGGGAAGGAGCAAAATATTACTGCTGTTTCAGGCATGGAGAAATTCAACAGAGCCCTTTCCTGGTCTCATGAAAAAGTGACACCTTGCCGTGCTTTGAGGAGAGGAGGATTACAGCAGATAGCATCCTGATTGCAGCACACCTCCCTGCAATGGCTCAGCCTGCTGGAAACCAGCCCCCATAGTGGGCTCTGGCCCACCAGGCAACACCTGGTGCTCTCTGGAAGCTCCTCCAGGGTTTCGATTGACTCGAGCAGAAGCCAACCTGCCTGGGTTTGCTGTCTGCAATTACATGCTCATGCTTGCCAGAGCTCAGTGCCTTTTGTGGGCTGCCTGTAAGTTGGTGGACCATAAGATCTGCAAGGATGGAGATATGACAAAACCACTGAAACTGGGTAATGGTGGGAAATAAACATCCTTCCATTTCCTAGCACCTTGAAAATGTAAAAGAATGTCTTGGCTTGAGCAGCCTGTCACTAGTCAGAGCAGAGAGAACATGGTCTTCAGGAGGGCAGCCAGGGTCTGTAGGCTCTCTTCTGCTGGAAATAACTATCACTGCTGGCTTCTTTAGACACCATGGAGATGTTTTCTGTGTAGTATGGGTGATGCTCTTTTTTAGACTTGATCCAGAAGATGATTTCCATGAGTTTTTCAGCCATGAGAAAAAGGAATCATTTTCTTCATTTGCGTCCTCTTGGGAATGTGTTCCAAAGAGGAGCTTCTCTGAGGGACTGCATGGTCATGAAGCAGGTGTCCATGCTGAGAGTCACCAGCTAGAAAGGGTATGCAGGAGCCAGCAAGATGCTGGCTAATCAAACAACTGGCAAAATTGTTCTGAGTTTGAAATTACTTACAATTCATGAGAGTGGAAATAGGACAGTACTTAAATTCAGAGTTCAAGACTTCAGCAAATCAGTAATGGTTTCAAGTAAAGAATCCAGAAGTCCTGAGCAAAGAAGGAAGGTAAATGGACATAAACAAGACCTTTAGGAGAAATCTTTCCTATATGCATGAATCTTCTAGGACTTTAGCCCAAGATGCCATGTGCTCAGAACAGCCAGAATTGTATTTTTCTTTGAAACCAGCTATAAAACTCCCTTCAATTTCTATGATGGGGCAGAAGGACAAACCGTGGATGTGAGCTACAGCCGGTATGTATGCAGGACATGCTTTCAGGGTGCCACGTTAAGCTCGTCTCCACACTTTTACACCATCCCACTGACAAGAGGCTCTCTTTGCACCACCCGTTGCTTGCCCGCAGGCCGCTCCTCAAGTTCCTGCACCCGTAACTTCCACCTGACCTCGCGATCACCCAGGCCGGCTCCTTCCTCCTCACCCCACGTCCCCTGGGCCCACTCCCACCCGGCTGATAGAGCAGGCGTTGCTCCACGTCCCCGCGAGGCCGAGCAGTACAAGCGGGCGGCACAGTCCCACCGCGCGCCGTATCGCCGAGCTCTGAACCGCGGCCAGCTGGCCGGCTGTCAGCACGCAATCCAAACACCGGCCAAGGCCTCGCTGGCTGCCATAAACCCTTCAGGGCTGCAAAACAGGTCAGAGATCTCAGAGAATACAGCTCGGCTTCGGTAATGATTAACAGGGTGGTGGCAAAAGTCCCCGAGGCTTTGGCTGGCTCTGCGTGCACACGTGTGCACACACCAATGGGAAAATGGATCTGCCCCAAGCCCCGAGGAGCCCTTTGCAGGGGCAAAGCCTCCCTCGTGGTGGGCTACTCACTCAGCACATACCATGGATGAGTGCCCCTGGTTTTCCCTGGGTTAGCAGAGGACTCCCTGCTGTTAGATTCAGGTCAAAGAACAGAAGCAAGGGTGAGGGATCAGGCAGGGTTGTCATTTCTCTCATTTCTGCAGTGGACCAATATGCCAGACCAGATTCCAGTCTCCAATTCATACATGCAAGTCTGGAGATTTCCTAAATTTATAACCCTTGATTGAAAGTAGAATCTGCAGATCTGACCTGAACTGTCACAACAAAAACTTCTGTGTTCTGTTCTGCATCAGTGCACATCCTAAAAGCAAGCGGTTACCTGTGAAATTGTTTATTTCCAAGGGGAAATGAATTTCCTGTTGCTTGTGGATCCCACATACATTTTTGCCTTGTTCTTAACTTCTACTTGTTATGTTTTAAAAATCATAAATTAAGTCTAGGATTTTTTCCCATGTTTTACAAAGCTCACCATTCTAACTTTTTGGAAAATAGGTGTCCAAAGGAATCTGGCTGTCCTACATAAGCTGGTTATTTATGTATAACTGTGCAGTGTCTGTGTATATGCACACTCATATAATGGATTTATAACGCTATGTAAGTGTGTTATGTTGTTAGATGGACTGTTGGAAAGAATAACATTCACAATGAGATCTGAATCATTAGAAGCACCTGTTGTCACTCTCCCACTACATTAAAATATCTCCCCAAAGGTGGAACACCAGGGCAGATGAAGGGAGTGTGGTGGGGACAGAATTCCCTCCTGTCCCCTCTCAGCTTCCCTTTGGTGTAGGGATCACAAAAGAGATGCACAGAGACACTCCTGGAGTTCAAGCCCAGTGCTCTTCTGAGTGGTCTGAAATATTTCTTCTAGTTCTAGCAGCTGAAATTGCCCAAGCATGCTCCCAGCAGATTATCTGCAAGCCAGGGCAGATGCCCACTGGCCAAGCACAGGCTCTGCTCTGCGCTCCGGAGGCACCTGGAGCAGGCAGCGGGGCAGTGAGGAGGGTGAGGAATGCCAAGTCGGGTCCAAGGCAATCAGAGGCCATTTCCTTCCTTTGTCAGGATCTCGACTGGCAATCTGATCTTTGCATGAGTTTCCTCTACCCCAAGCCAGTGTCAATAGAAAAGCAAATGGATAAAACGTAAATGCAGACCACAAAACTCCCGAGTAGAAGCGGATAACATTCCTTGACCTTCCCACTCATAAAGCTCCTTTACTTCCTCCTCGGCAGTGAAGATTAGCTGTTATATAGTGTTTGCACTAGTTTATATGGCTACATCCTCCAAGCCTTTACGCGGCTAGGGGAGCCTCTGCCAAAGGCCAGGTGCAGGTCTGAAAGGCGGTGGGAGCTGTGGCCTCCCGCTAACACCTCCTGCCCTGGCACCCAGCCTGGCCACGTGCTGGAGGGGGCTGGAAGGCTGCAACGGCAGAAATACACAGCTCCTGTGGGCAGCCACTGCTGGGGGAAGGCAGCCCTGTGAAGTCGTCTTTTATGAACAGAGGAAGACAATATCCAAAGAAGCGTTTGCTGGAATTGTGACTCCATCTCTCTACGTGCTTAGACCAGCTTGAAAAAGCAGCTCCTCTAAGAACAGTGGGCTGAGGCTGGTGAAACACTGAAGGGGAAAACAAAACAAAACAAAACAAAAAAACAAGCCTTCCAAATTCATGCAGTGTAACCATTCCACTCATTCTGCACATGTCCTTAGCAGAAATACCAGGAAGTTTCTTTATTTTGGCGAAATAAGTTGAACTCCGTAACAATTTCCCCTTTTAAATTAACAGCCCAAGAGGGAACTGATTATTATTATTTTAACTCTGCTTGCCGGTTTATCTCTGAGTAGATAAATAATTTAATTTGCTTTATGGTATTATTTAGATTAACTGGCCGGCGTTTGCAGGGCACACTAAACATGAAGAGCACTATAAAAGCTCATTCCTTATGTAGAAGTCATTGCATGCAGCGTGGAGCACTTGCAGGGTATTCGACATGAAAGGTTAAAATGTTCTGGACTCCATCCTTTTCTTTGCTGAGGATCAAATGGATGTTTCAAACCCTACTCGCTGACCACTTAAGCATTGCCCAGTAATAAAAAATATGAGGGAAAAATTTAATGTTGCTTCAGGCAAACTCAGTGCCTTGCTCACACTTCCCACATCCCTCCTCTAGCCTTCCAGGAAGGTCTCTGAGAAGTAGCTGAAGTCACTGTTGAATTGTTTTCCAGTTACTTGCTGATTTCTGCTTAGCAATTAAAATATTTATTGATGACAGCACCCGTGTGTTAGGCCCTTAAAGAAAAATGGCTTTGGGATCTTCCTGAAAGCCAAGTTTTAAACCTTATAGTAACTGATTTTAGGAAACTATAAGCAGAGCTCCTTCCTTCCTTCCATTGCTGTGCTTGTGTTTTCCCTTGCTGCCCCTATTTTGCAGCTTTCAGCCTCTTCATTTGCTTCTTAGCAACACATCTTCAAGGCAACAGTGCCCACACTTCTGTCATTACGCCTCAATATTCAGGGTGTAGACACACAAGTGCGTGGTTTTCAGTTTAGCTGATCTTTATGCCATGTTAAGAGAAGCAACCAGAGAGGAAATAACAGCATGTCCAGGTGCAAGGAAGGAGCCAGGCTGGTCACCTAGGACCAGAAACACTGCCCCTGGCCCAATGACCCTTTCCTATAAACCTGCTCACTGAAGCCCTTCAAGATACACCCAGGTCACTTCCAGCTACAGGGGAATTCCTGGTGAGTTCCCATTTCCCGTTTCATTCCCATTTCCCTAGAATTTAAACATTTCTGTCATACTTTCTCCCCTTTGGCCAACTCTGCTCCTCTTGGGCCAGGGCAGAGTGAAAAAAGAAGGAAAAGGGTTGTTTGCTTGTCAATGCATTAAACAGAAGGAAGGAGTCTGATGGTCCAGCTCACTCTGGTATTTTATCCAGAGGCTGTTCAGTACAAAATACAGAAGGAGTTATTGTTGCTGGACCTAGAAGTGCTCTGTTGCACTCCTCTTTCCAATGAGGAGGCATGAACCCTTCTGGGAAGATGGAGACGTGGGCTGATGTGCATTCAGGCAGGGACTGGGCTTGCATCTCCTCCACTTTTGAGGTGTGCTGTAACCACCAGCTGGACAGGTAAAACTGGGGAAAGCATTAGAGGAGGGTGTCATTACGGCTTGATATCTGGTGTCACAAGTGTATGGTGTCTGCAGAGACACCCTGAGCAGCAGATGTCTTTTCTAGCTCTAGGATGTAAAAAAAAAAAGGCTACGATTTGGGTGTAAAAGTGTCAGTTTTCTGTAGTTACCTACATCCAATGACCTACATCCAATCTACTGCATATCAGCAGGGGTTATCAGGGCTCCTTTGCTGTGCAAAGGGCTCATGATCCCTTCCTGCAGCCCAAGAGCTGGAGATGGCAGGGAACAGAAGCAGCAGGGGATGTGGGTGCTGCCTCTCCCACCTGCTTCACAAGCCCCACAGCCTGGCTTTTAAGCCAGGAATCATTTCTCTACCCACAGCCAGGGACTGGGAATTTAAGGCAGGTGCTTAATGTTGCATTTACCTGTAAATGCCAGCACAGACTCTTTGCATTTCATTGCACACATATTGGAGTTTGCAGAGTGGTTCAGCTCCCTGACACAGCTCATCTCCAGGGTCTGGTTCACGGGAGCCCTAGAAATGCGGTTTGTCACTCTGGGGATGTGTCCAACCCTCTCCCACATTTAACGTGTCTCCCTCCAGGGGTTCAGCAGGTGCTCTCTGGTGTTTAGGGCCAACAGCTATTTGAGACATCATTCTCCTTAGCCTGCCATGGTCAGAGAAATGTGTGAGTTGCAGTCGCTTGTTCCTAACAAGCATTTCATGTTTCTTGTGTTATTCCAGGCTGTGGCAGGATGCTGTGTCCCTGCAAGGATGAGGATTTGCTCATTTTCCAGTCCCACAGATATTTTCTTCCACACTGGTCTCCACTGTCTGCTCTGAATCTGCACGCCCATGCACAGGGACATGCTCTGCGTGCACCTTTGTGTTGTGGGGTTTACACACCTCTGAAGATTTCCTTTGGGCTTAATGAATGGTACACATTGGCCTCTCTTAGCATTTACACAGCATTAACAGGCAGAAGACAGAGGATATTGCTTTATGGCTAGAAAGATATGGAGAAGGCTGACAAAGGTGATCAAAGGTACAGAAAGGCTTCCGTGCATGGAAAAAACAGGTAGAGAGGACACCTCAGCCCAAAAAACACAGACAGGAGGATACGTTAGAAGGTTATAAACTACAATCAGAACAGAGAAGACGAAGAAACCACTCGTCACTTTTTTAATACAAGAACTAAGGTGACTCAAGCAAAACCAGCAGGCTGCAATTTCAAGAAAAAACAAAAAGAGATTTATTTTTATGGTGTGTACATTTTATACAGCTGCACAGTGCTTAAATCTGTGCAGCTCCCTGTGACAGGATGTTCACCGGTTCCAATCTCTTCTGGACATCCTCATGGAGGTGAAATCCATCCCAGGTACTAAAGAAAGTCACAAGCAGGGCTCTTCTGAGTATTTAGAGAGCAGCTCAGTGCCTTTAGGAACTGGGTCGGGTAACCCCCATGATACTTCAGCTGCTGGATTGGCAGACTGCTAATTGCAAGTAATTATACAGCTGAACACAGGATTGGACCGAGCTGCACTCTTACCCTGCCTAGTGACTGGTGGTACTCCTTCAGTTTGGTGATGCGTGAGGGGAACACAACGCCCTCGACCTCTTCTCCTGCCTCCAACCTGAGGAAAAGGAATTTTCTTACTGTGAGGTTTTCCCTTTG